CTCTCTCTTTTCAGATGAGAAAACTGCGCCATTTCTGTTCTTATTTGTCGGTGATTGACGCTTTTGTTCAACAATGTGTCCTCCCTATACCCCTGTACTGCTCCCCTGTAAGTTTCCCTGGTTTGCTGAAGGCGGATTTCAAGTTGCTGTGGCGTGGCCTCTCAATGATCAGCCGTCTCTCCAAAGTTCCGTTATCTGTTCTGATTGGCAATATGTGTAATGCCCATATTGATGCATGCTTAAAGTTTGCTGACAATATCCTATCTGATTGCACCCATCCTCTACACACTGACTTGTGTGCATGCAAATCCCACCCCTGAACCCGTTCCAAGTACAAACTTATCCCGTCTCGCATATCCGCATACAGAAACTCTTTGGTACCTTATCTTGCCCGGATACTGACCGACAAGGAAGGTGTTCGTTCCAAGCTTTCTAATGCATTTAGTAATTAACTCATATTTTCGTACGTTTCATATTCAACTTTTCCCCCTGTTTTTACCAGAATTGTAACGGTGGTCTATTTTCTGGCTTAAATCTTGTATATATAACTCGCTAAAGCTTGAATAAAATACTATACGATGCAATACGACAATACAGAAAAGGGGGAACACAGGAGAAGCGGTGGAGTGGTTCTAACCTGGGACGCCCAGATCAGAATTCGGTAACCTAACCACTTGGCCACCACCGCCCACACACATTCGGATTCTGATGAGATCTCTTGCTAATCGGAGTACAGCGCTGTTTGATGGCGCGGAGTGAACTCAATATCATGCAGTCGTAAAAAAAGAGGGACGGTCAACTGAGATAGCTAATGCGTAAAATAAATAAACGAACCAGAGGGCCCGGGTTCCAAGTCCAGTCTATTTGATGAATAACCCCTTAGAAAGATAGTGAATGAGATGAATAAACAACTGAGTTGAGCATGCATGACATGTTCACTGAATTTTACGAATCTATGTGGCCGGTGAAAAGCTTTACAAAAAGCCGAAATCATCAACAACTCTCTAGGGGTTTTTTTGAACTTCTGACAAACAAGGGTATTGGGCCATTCGTGCGCCAGCACAGACCGAGCTTACTTTTTCCAAAAGGGATAAGAATTCCAAAACAGCTGCGCGTTCTTCACCGGTGATTTTCGAAAACATGAGCATGTCTGATTCGAACAGTGCTGACAATCCACGGAATATGTCAACCGCGTATACCGGAGTCTCCGATTGATAGAACTGGCTAAAACCGGGAACAGAGACAGACAAAACGAGAGAACACAATGCAATCAAAGGTTTTTTGCAAACTATCCGATGAACTAATTGTTCACACGGTTTCTTGCACACGTCTGTCGAAAAAATGCCGTAGGACTGACTAAGATTGAACGAGTAGACTGGAAATATATAAAAAGAGGAAGAACGCATGATGAACTTTAATGAATAAGAAAAAGTGCGTGTAACAGATGGGAGAATCATGCGCACTATGGCCCCTGACTGTTCACGTGTCTTTGTCAACGGTCGCTCGAGCAGAGACGCTTTCAAATGAAATTCCAAACCACACACACACACATCTTCAATGTTAATTTGTCTTCCACGTTTCCATTCGTTTCCACTTCGTTTCCTTTTGTTGAATGGGCAACCATCAAGCAGTCGCTTGAGGATACAACGGTGTGGGTGAGTGAGGTCACAGTTGTTTGTTGATAACATACGACCTTCGAACGATGTGATCATGACACACACCACCGTCACTATATTCGGGTGAAGTCAACCTCACTCCACCCCCGCCCACACACACACGAACACAACATAAACCACTCCGCGACTTTCCACATGAATATTATGTCCGTCCTTCATCTTTGTATTCCAGAACAGCGGGACTAACTCCTAACTCAGCCCGATGCGATTTTTGGCTGACGTATTCAAGCAGACCATTTGGATTTGAAGCAAAACAATCGAAACTGGTATTTAGTGGAGCACGAGGATGAGGTGGAAGTGATCTCAACAGGAACAGACCATGCTGGTTAAATTCAACATAACGCGTCACAACTGATGAATGGGATGGGATAGTTCAAATCCCTCGATCGGTTTCCGGACTAAACCATCGCAGTCCGCGGTGTTGCAAAGCAGTGTACATGTTCTAAGCTACATGCACGGTTAACGGTTGTACAACCTTAAACTGACTGAAACGAAGCATGATACAAAAAAGGCGTAGGAACGTGCTACACAGGACGATAGCGAAGTTCCTCATCGATAGCGTGCATCCGCGACGCTAGGATCGGGACCGGGGGTATCGTGAATGGGATAAGTGTTAACACACGATCGAAGTTGCCGCCCGTGATGGAACAATAAGTTTAAACACATTCAGTCTGACTTCACGAAAAACAACACGCCAGAGTGATTGATCTTAGCGAGAACGCAGTAAAGAAAACGAGTCAAAAATTGAAACAATGAAAGTGGGCCGAGGAGTTAGGACAAAGTGAGGCAATATAAATAGTATCATTTTCTTGATGAGGTTAGTCAGCAAGAACAGAGAGTTACATTCGTAGTATCACAGTGTGATAAATTTACAATATACAATTTACGCTATCCAATCGATGATTTTTATGTGAACATCCAAACAAGGCAAATAATTAATAATAATAATAATAATAGTAGTAGTTAGAGAAGATAACATGGTAAACACCGTCGTTTTAGGTGTTCTACAACGATACCAATAGTGCACAATATTACTGAATAAACATAAGTAATGGTTTACACTAAGACGGGGAGTGGGCAATAGCTCAAACAGTTTAGGCCACTACCGGCTATGTTGTTTGATAACAGGTCACCTGTCAAGGACTCTATCAATTAGTCATACATACTCGCTCGTTATATCGGACACACAACGAGACGTCTGTCCAAGAGAATAGCTGAACATTATCCGGTCACTCTTGGTAAAGGAGTAGTGAGAAGCGTGAACAACTCAATCCGGTAACATTTGGTCGACAGAGGGACACAGGATTGACACAGAAAC